GGCAAAGGGGCAGAGCATTCCAGGCAGAGCATGTGCAAGGGCCAAGGGGAGACTGTGAGTAAGGCACCTTCTGGAACTCAGGTCATTTAACTTCTGGAGTGTAGGGTAGGGGCCAACCCCAGGGGAAGTGAAAGCTGGGCAGGGACCCAATCCATCAGGTACAGTTGGGGGTGGGACAAGCTGCACCACAGTGGGGATACCCAGGCACCCCATATTAGGCTCTGGAAGCAGGACTGCAGTCCAGGCGATGCCCTGGGGGAAGGAGCGGGTTTCCCCAATACCCTTGGGACTCTGCGAGAATCTCCAGGGCATCTGGGAAACCAGCGTCTGAGCTCTTGGAGGGAGATTCCATCAGGGGAGCTGGGTTACTGCTCGAAGTTCTGGGCTGAGCAGCAAGTGCCCAGGGATGGGGGAGAGAGAGAGCACCATAGCTGGTCACCCTGGCTTCTATCAACCCCAGCCTGTTGCCAAGATCCTGGACATATAACGAAAGGTTTCTTCTCACCTCAGTCCATGAACCTACTGAGAAGTCCAAGAAGCCATTAGTCCTTGTGGGGGTGGCGTGGAGCTCCAGGAGGGGAGGAAATGTAGAGGAAGTGAGCACTGCCAGGTGTCAGGCGTCTGCTCGGCACATTACATAAGTGACCACACCTGCCTTGTGAAAGGGGTATTTTGGCCCTCACTTTAAAGGTTAGGAGACTGAGGCTCAGAGACGCTAAATAACTTCTCCAGGACCATACAGGTAGTAAGGAATGAAACCAGGAGTCAAACCCAGGTGAGTGGGACTCTAAGACCTGTCTCTCTCTACCAGACGAATGTGATTTGCTGCACAGCCGCCACGGGCCGGGCATGGAGCTAAGCCCTGCAAACCCAAAGATGAGGGGGTTTGAGTGAGAATCAAATTGAATCTTTCATGAGAATCGAATGAGATCAGGCAGGAGGGGACTGTGGCAGAGTGTGTTTTCCCAAAATGCCCCTTGACCCTATGTGGAACTTTGTGGCTGCCTTGGCGAGAGGCAGTGATGCTGCTGATGCCAGAGGCTGGGCCATAAAAGGGGGCACAGCCCGGCCACCGTGCTTTGAGAGGAATGGCGCTCCCTGCCGACAGCCAGCATCACCACCGGAACTGTGAGTGAGCGAGCCTCCATCATTCCGGCAGAGGCCGGGGACATCAAAGACAGGCAAGTGTTCCCACTGTGCCCTCTCAGTTACTGACACACAGAATCTCTGAGCACCAAGAATAGCTGGTTCACACCACTAAGTTCTGGGGATAATTTGTTCCACAGCCATAGTCAGTGGAACGAGCACTTTGTAAACTGTAAAGTGCTATACATGTCTAAGATGCTATTAGTAAACCTGAGTTTGGCCTAAGGGGATTGTGTCGGTGTCTGAGGAAGTAAAGTTGCATGTTAATCTGGGTTCTCCCCCAAAGCAGAGACTGGGGTGGAGGCTTATGTGCGGGGACACACATCTGGGAAGTGATCCATGGGATCAGGCATAGGGGACTGGGAAGAATGAAACGGGAAAGGAGGCTCGGCCAATTCAAGGGTGTGTTAATGAGCTGATTACGCTGTGTGCAGCTGGGACTCAGCATCCCCTGAGATGAACCAGACCCTCTCAGGACCTCAGGGTGAGGGCAGATCTGCTGGCTCCAGCCCCTATTGGTGGACGGTTGCTCCGGGAGATGGTAACTCCTTGCACTTTCCAGTTGGGAATGCCCCAGAATGGCCTGAGCAGCTCCCTTGGCAGGGGAGCCCAGGGGAGAAAGCCAACTCTGGCACTGAGAGATTACACCACATGCGCTGGGCTGACAGGCTGTGAAACGGAGCATAAAAGATGAGCGGCACACGTGGTATTAAATAATTCTCCAGGCAATGATTACATTCGATGTCCTGGATAGAGAGCTGCAGGGCCAACCTCTGCCTGGTCAATTTCCCCACCGGCTGTGGGGCAGCCTGCTCTGCCTCTCCAGAAAAGCCTGTTCCTGCCTGAGGAAGGCCTTTGTGCCCTCAAAGCCAGCATCCTTTAGAGCAGGGCCATCTGCACTCTCTGGGCCCTGCAGGTGATCCCTGGGGATGGCCCAGGGACAGGGCACTCACTGCCTCGCGGGGATGGGCTCTGGGCATGGATTTCCAGGAGCTGACAGTGCCCAGGCAGACCATGCTTTTTGGAGACAGGGACTTTGAGAAGCGGCCCTTTGAAGGAAGCCAATGTAGAGGGTGAGGTTGCTTTATTCAGACCCTTGGTTTTTCTCCTGGAAGCTAATGATGTGGTGAGGAGACCTCTGGAGCGGGTGCCTGAAGAAGGACGTGAGGTGTCTCAGTCTGGATCTGCTGTCCAGGATCAGGCTGGGACCAGGGCCAGATGCCCTCTGCATGACACCACCTCTAGGTCAGGCCCCTCTGCCCCGCTCTTCTGCGGGCTGGTTAGCTCCATCGCTCACTCCTCTGTGGCATTTAATACTTAATGGTCTTATTTTCTAAATAGAGAACTAGGCTCCATGCTCCAGGGCCTGGTTTCCTGCCTTTTTAAGCCTTTAAGCCTCTTCTTCCCTGTTATGGCAAAGGAGCTGGCTCCATGCCATCTGCAGGGGGAAGGCCCTGTAGAGCTGTGGGCCTGGGGAGCACAGAGAGGGAGGGCATTGCTCAGCACCCTGGGGTGCAGGGAAATGTGAAGCAGGAGGAGCTCTGCTTCCCCTAGGGGAGACTATGAGGGACTGCACCTCATACGAGGAACTTAGATTTGGGGAAGCACTTCACAAATTACACCAGTATTGACAACCCTCCAATGCCCTGGGCACCTGCTGTAGACCTCGAGGCATCGAGCTTCCCCTCCGAGAGGCTGAACTTGCCCTTGTGTGGGGATTGGTTGAGAACCCAACCCCCTTCAACTCTCCCAGCGCCTTTCCTTCAGGCTTCTCTTCTCCTAGGTAGAGAATCATGACTCCTTTCTTCCTTCTTCATCTCAAGACGGCGCACAGCCTCACCACTATGCCTGGAGCCCCTCCGCTGGGAGGAGGCCTTGCCTCAGCAGCTGCGGCAGTTCGGTCCCTCGGGCTTGCTCAGGACTGAGGGGTTTCCCGGGATGCAAGACTTTCAGTGCAAAACCCGGAAAATCCGGAAAGGTTGGCCACCCTAGATGAGTGTCTGTGCGGGGCCGTCAAGACTCTCCTGTCTGGGGGAGACAGGCTCATAAATAGGCAATCACAGCAACGCAGGTGAGTGCTAAGCCATAGGGAACCCCAGAGGAGGGGAAAGCTTCCTGGCAGAGGTGCGTCTAGGCTGTCTTACAAAGAGGATGTAAGCCTTTAATGCAAAGAAAACATGACAAGCAGAGGTGCGTGTAGGGATAAATGGTGTGCAGGCTTTGGGCTCCTGGGATCTGTGTGTTTCTTTCTTTGGGTCCTACAGACACACAGTGATGCAAATCCCCAGGCCAGTATGTGTCTCCCTCCCCTGAGCTACACCCACCCTGTGTGGAGCCTGTTCAGGTTTTGTGCACTCTGTCCTGGCAAAGGCTGACCTGGAATCTCTAAATGAGAGACATTCTTATTCACAGAAGACCCTTGCTGGGGTGTAGGAGGTGGCCTTCGGCGTGCAGGGTAGGGAACTGGGCAGAAATGCCTTGAGAGGGCTGGGGGGGTGGGGGGCTGAGGCCCTGAGGGAAACCTGTGCTTTGATGGGGGCATAGGGAGGAGAGGGGAGTAGGGAAAACAGCAGTTCTGGAAAGGTCCCAGGCACCTGAATTTGGAGACCTTGCCCACCTGCAGAGACGGGGCTCTACGGAATGGAATCCTAGCCCACCCATTGCTTGGTGATGTGAGAAATAGGTAGCACATAAGAAAAAATTTCACCTCTCGGGTGTTCTCAAGGACTTACAAAGGTTTGTATTCATGCGTACATCATTTGTTTGGGGGCAGAATGTGCCAGGACAGTCTACCTTGGCCACATGAACTTCCTGAATTCCAAGCCAAAGAGTCCTGTCTGATAAGTTCCAGGCCCACTATTCTTGGATGGCCGTCAAGCTCCCAGCCTCCTGAGTGGGACCCAGGAGTTCACCATTGTACTCTCTAGTCTGGACACACTAAAGAGTAAGGCGAGGTCAACCTGGTCCTCAGAGAGGATCTGCACGAGTTCTGCCTGTGGTGACTGGTAAGGCACAGGTGATGTTTCTCAAAGTGTATCTGGGCCTATCTGTATCATTAAAAGTGCAGTTCCCAGGCCATGTTCTAGAAAAACCGAATCATAAGCCCTGGGAGTGGGACCCAGGAAGCAGCATTTTGAACCCCAGGAGATTCTTCTGCTCAAGGTAAAAATTGTCTTTTGGAAGTAGTTGCTATTTATTTTAATAAAAGACAAAGTTTTATGTCAAAAAAATTCACCTCTACTGTAAAATTTCCAGGATGAGTGTAACGCAGGGTTTCTCAACTTTGGCACAATTGACATACTTCTTTGTCGTGGGGGGCTGTCCTGCACATTGTAGGATGTTTAACAACATCCCCGGATACTAGATCTACCAGTAGCAACCTACAGTTATAAAAACTAAAAATTTAAAAATTTCTCCAGACATTGCCAAATGTCCCTTAGAGGGAAAAATCTCCCCTCAAAAGGGATTTCCTTATGAAATCTGACCTGAGTCCAGCGTGTTGCGGATTCTTCTCCATCCTTGGAATGATCTCCAGACCAGGCTCTGCCCACACTGGGCCCCGGCCCTCCTCACCACTCTCTAGCTGCACACGGGGCTGAAGCCAATTCACAGTGTCACTCTCTCCCGGGTGTAGTGTGAAGCCAGACCCTTTAATACCTCCTGTTCCCCTTCTCCACCCCTCCACCTAATCCTCCCCATTTCTGCCATATCTTGGGGATGCCTCCTGCTGCAGGCCCCCTCCCAGGCAGGGAGACAGAGAGCAGGACTCCGACAGGGCGGCACAAGGCTGCCCCTTACAAGGGGTGCCGATGAGCCTCCAAGGAGAGGGCACCTGTGGAAGAATTCTCCTTTTGTGAAAACAGGAAGTTTATTCTAAAGTAAACATGGTCACAGTAGAAAAGTTGGCAAGTACAGAAAAATATAAAGAAGAAATAAAGGTCACTCATAATTCCACCGCCCAGACAGCCAATGTTGACACATGGGAGGCTTCCCCCTTCTGCTATTCTTACTATCCTGGCTGGTGTGCAGGCAGGATACTCAGGTGGATAGAACACTTGACCAAGGACAATGAAAGGCATCCAGCATTCCAGGTTAAATGTCTGCTTTATTCAGACCCGGGGACCAGAGGCCCATGCAGCCAATTTTGCAGATTTTGCACCTGAGTGTCTCCCTGCCTCACCCTCTAAGAACATGCTCCTGCAGAGGCGACATCAGAACTCGTCCTTTAGGTCAAAATGGGGCTGGTCTTCAGGCTTGAAGTCCAGGTTGGGGCTGCCGTCCTCGTTGAGAATTCTTCGGGCCGTGTAGCCGACAATGGGATACTTGGCTTTGTACACTTTGGTGAAGACGTCATCCAGGGATTCCAGCTCCTTGGCCGTGAGGCCCGTCTTGCGGAGAAAAGCCCAGGAAACACGGGGGTGGGGATGAGTGAATCGGGCTCGGCACTAGCCTCTCGCCATCCCCGCCTTACTCTCCCCACACCCCTGATGCAAGAGAAAAAATATCTCAACAAACCAAATAAGGGACAATTGACTTTTTAAGAGATAACCCTGTGCGCGTGTGTGTGTGTGCGCGCGCGCGTGCATGTGTGTGTTGGGGAGGTGGTGACGGGAGGGGAGCAATGGCTTCATCATGTTTTGACTCCAGAGATCCCCAGCCTGGGGTTGATGGGGGCGCACTCTGCAGTCTGCATCCCCCTCCTCCTGCCTAAATAATCCCACGGCTCTGTACACACCTCCCACTATAGATTTATACACCCTCCCCCTCCTTAATTTCTTAATTTGTTTCTGTAACGTTGCAGCTTAAGAGTTTGACTCATCTGAGCACAACTGGGGTGAATACCAGGCTTTCTGTTGGGATTACTTAGACTCTGAATTGGCTTTTGTTAATGCTATTTTCTCCTTCACAGAAACATGAGCATGGGGGAGACTCTGCTTCTCCACCCCGTTCATCTCCTGAGCCACCAACAGTGGCCTGGGGAGTGGGTCTCAGAGCCTAACAGCAAATCTGTGAGAGGCTGGGGGCCATGGGTGCAGACTGCAAGAGGGATGGGGCTGCCAAGGCTGGAGCCAAACTGTGAAGATCACTGTGTTTGATCACAAGTTCACTAGAGTCTAGACTTGACTCTGTAGGCAACGGGGAGCCATGAAAGGTTTCTGAGTAGGAGTGGCACAGTAAGATTTCTATGTCAAGAAGATAGTTGGCCACCACACGGAGTGGACTGAGATGTAAATAAGCTAGTTAGGAAGCTTTGCTACTGCCCAGAGATAAAAGGCCATGACTGGGGGGTGGGACCTTTTGACAAAGGCTCGTAACCTGGCTCACAGTGTCATGGGTGAGGTCAGCAGGATCCAGGGACATCTTGGCCACCCCTCTGGTGGAGTCCTTCCCTGTCAGGGCATTGTAGGGGGCTCCTCGTCCATAGAACTCTGCAGTGGGGAGGAAGGAAGAGGGTGTGAGTGTGGATGTGCATGCAGAGCAGCCGGAGGACTGTACACGGCAGGGGGAGGGGGCTTCCGAGACCCCACCCAATCCTGAAAAGGGCTCCAGGCCAGAGGAGAGGGAGAGCAGTGAAGACGCTTAGTCCAACTAGCCGGCTCCAGCCATCAGTTTAGATTCCACTAATTCAGGATATGGAACAAGTCATACACGCTGGGCTGAGAGGTGATTTTTTAAAAATACAGAATGAAAATAATGGCTTTAAAAATATTGAAAATGCAAACAGGAAAAATGTTCAGTCGTCTTAAATGTTGGTGGAAGCCAAGTCTATTTCCGTTCAACCTCTTTTGTTTGGCATCAAGTAAACAATGAACCATTACAAAACTACCTCCATGATATCACTTGTAGTTACCATCAGGGAAACCATGAAATGGCATTAAAATGTTCTATAACGTTCTATGATCCCAACTCTTTGCTAAGTAGCACTTTTCCTCTCACTGCTTCAACTAGGGTAAACCATCAAGTTTGACTTTGATTCTGTAGGCAACACGGAGCCAAGGAAGGCTTTTGAGCAGCAGCATGACATTATTAGGAAAAAATTGCTGAAGTACAACACTGACAAAGATTGTTAATTCAATCTTGGGGGAAGGAACTTGCCCGGCATTCCTTCCCTTTCCTCACACCTTCAGTGCCTACTCTGGCTGCCAAGATCCCCAGAAATAAGGATTCAGAAAGCCAAGCCACTTACCCTTTCCAGAAGTGACATCAAACACCACTCCCTTCACTGCTATGTAGATGGGCTGATCTTCCTAGAAAGCAGGAGAGAAGCTGTGAGGAGGAGGCGGAGAGCCCAGTTCTTCCCGCTCAAGTTAGTAAAACCTCTTCCCACCAAGGGCCATGCAGAGAGCAGTGGGCGAAGTTACAAAGCAGCCAGTCCTCAGCGAGCTCGCCCCTACCTGCACAATGTCATGTCCACAAAAACTTGGAAAAGTTACAAAGTATGATGACAAGCCCATGGCAATACCTTTCTTTAAAAAATCAGGAACTGAAGCAACTCTATGCAGATAAAAATTCAAAAGAATATTAAATGATAAATTATTTAAATCAGTCCAAGTTTCCTTTCATCTTCGTCAACATACATGCATGGGTGTAATCAGTATAAATGATCTATTTTATATTTTCCTTCTTCTAGGTAACATTACTTTGTATAAACATTTCCATGTATTGAAATAACCAAAGTGCCTGTCACTTAAACAGCTGTATCTTATTTATATTAGTGATACTGTGTACCTGTTTGGTTAGCTATTCTTCTATTTTGGGTATTTGGGTTGTTTCCAATTCCTTAGAACTAGAAATGGCAGCATTAGGAATATCTTTCTACAAGTTAGTTTCTAATTTGGTGAGTTATTTCCTTGAGGCTTATTTCTTTTTTTTTTTTTTTTTTTTTTTTTTTTTTTTTTTTTTTTAAGATTTTATTTATTTTATTTTTCCCCCCAAAGCCCCAGTGGATAGTTGTATGTCGTAGCTGCACATCCTTCTAGTTGCTGTATGTGGGACTCGGCCTCAGGATGAACGGAGAAGTGGTGCCTCGATGCGCACCCGGGATCCGAACCTGGGCCACCAGCATCGCAGCGCGCGCACTTAACCACCAAGCCACAGGGCCGGCCCGAGGCTTATTTCAATATATGGAATTCCCAGGCCAAAGGATATGAACAACGTAATCACTTTTCATATTTTCCCAGTTTGTCCTTCAAAAAACCGTTCACGGTGCTAGAAATATACAAGCTATACGGTTTCCCCGCAGTTCTAAAAATGGGTTTATACTTTATTTTTTGCTATATTCATGGGTATACAATGTTACCTTAAAAATCCCCCCGCAAAAGAGAATAACGCAAAAGCAGACGGCATGGATATCTAACTTCCATCCCGTCGGGCTCAGGCTGGGGTGAGAGGCACAGTTCCAGGACACCCAGGACCAGGTCTTTCCTCTGTCTCAGCCCCATCGCGGGTACAGGGACACCAGCCAGGCAGCTCATAGGCCGGGGTGAGGGTGGGCGTCACAGCTGGGTGTACAGGAATCTCAGGTTCTCCAAGAACAAGCTGCTTGGCCTTCTCCGGGGGTTGGGGTGGGCCTTAGGGTTCTTGCCCTCGTGGAGCTGAAGGTCAAGTGTTTTCATGACCACATTTGACAGAGAGAGGAATGGGGCTCAGAGAAGTCAAGGAACTTGGCCAGGGAAACATATCTCACTGTCATATAACCTCTCAGGCCTCAGTTTCCCTAACCGTTAGATGGGGATAACACCTACGGGCCCTGCAGGAATGCTGAAGGGAACAGAGTAGGTGAGCACATCACAGGCACAGCACAGGAGCTCAGTAAATGGTCGGTTATTCTTATTCCCTAATTAGCTCCTACAGACAGTCCCCAGAACTCCTGCTGCCTCAGTGGATACTTGCTCCCCCTCATCTAAACAGGGTTATTTAAATGGCGGGGCTTAATCAGCCACCAGGCTGCAATTCTGTAATGATTTCCTGCCCTTCCCTCATGGTGATTATTTGTTCCTTGACTTCAATTGCTTATGAAGTGGTATTATGTATTTTTATCAATTTAGGGGTTTGGGGGGGTTTTTTGGTGAGGAAGATTTGCTCTGAGCTAACATCTGTTACCAATCCTCTTCTGTTTTTTTTGTTTGAGGAAATCAGCCCTGAACTAACATCTGTGCCAATCTTCCTCTATTTTTTTTGTATGTGGGACACTGCCACAGCATGGCTGGTGAGTGGAGTAGGTCCACGCCCGAGATCCAAAACCGCGAACCTGGGCCACCAAAGAAGAATGCATGGAACTTTAACCACTCAGCCACAGAGCCAGGCCCCTATCAATTTTTAAAATATATTATAGTTATAATTTTACCCATGGAATTTTGTCATATTTTCCATTCTGTTGCTTTTTCTTTGATATTTATTACTTGTCTGTGTGCAAACAGGCATATACACCTGACATTCACGTATATAAGATATAAAAACAGGCATCTGATCACTAACACTCTCCATTTCTTCGACAGTTAAATATTCACTCCTCATCAAACTATGCATCGAAGGTGTAAGTGCTCAAAGGAAACTGAAGCAAAGGGGTAGAAGGCACGTCAAGCGACTTCTGAGGCATTCCTGTTACGCAGACATTGCACAGAAAGGAACAGCCTGATCAGTTAAACACCAGTGTGCCTTGGGGGGTGAGTTCTTATCATGTGGAGACGGACGTCTGGATGTCCGCTGACAGCAGAGCCAGCAGGCATGGCTGTTCAGGCCAGGAGATGGCAACTGAGGAAGGTAGATGGAAGCTTTGGGAGCATAAATGCATATACTCAGGAATAGAAACGTCCACAGGACACAATAAAGACACGCACACTCAGTACCAGCTTCACACCAGGGTCCCCCCACCCCCTCATCCACCTGGAAGGATACATCACTTTTTGTCCCCACAGTGAGTTTGAAATAACAGCAGGAGGGCTGTCTTTTTCCATGAGAGCAAAGGAGGACTCACTATGGTGTCATGGGTCCCAGCATAAGTTTTCAAGTCAAACAGGCCTGGCTTTGAGCCACCACCTATGAGCTGCGTTGCCTTGGGCATATTACTTACCCTATCTGTGCCTCGGTTTTCTGCTCTGTACTAGGAAGATAATAAAAGTATCCACTTACTGGGCTGTTGTAACCAAGGCTAGAGATATAAAGCACTTTAGGGAGCAGTTTAGGGAAATAAATGTTAAGTTTCCTTCATCCTCCTCTAGGTTTTGAAAGTTATAAGATCAAAGAGGAATCAGATAACCAAGTGGAAGGAGACAGGAGATTTTCCTAAAGGAAAGATAGAAAAAAATGTAATTCCCAAGTGACAGATAAGGACTCTGGAGGAATTTTAAGTTAAAACTGGAAGAGGTCCTGAAGATGATCCATCTAACACCTTCATTTTATGGATGCTACCCAGGCCGGGGAGATTATAAGACTTGCCCAGAGTCACAGGGCGAATTAGAGAAAGGGCAGCTTCTGGAACCTGGAGCCTTGGAACCCAAGGCTCAGTCTGCTTTCTGGCCTGCCCCCCTCAGAGGGCACACAGCACGAGGACGGCATACTTGCCTGGGACGTGGAGAGGGTGTGAGTGTCCTGGGAAATTCATCCAAAAGACCCAGGACCAGGAGGAAAGACAGGGGGAGTGGGTCAGAGGTACCCAGACGGAGGGCAGCAGGGGAACAGCCTGCATAAACGAGACCGGGCCTTGATCTTCCCTCTGGGTCTTGGGCTTGCCTTACCATCTGGCCTTCCTCTCTGCCTTCCGTCAAGCAGCGCCAGTAGAGAGCGCCACGCAAGCTACCATGACAAGGGGATACAAAAGCAGCAGGCAGAGGAAGGAGGGTCTCTTCCACAGCTGGGGGAGAGAGACCTGGAGCCTGGGTGCAGCAGGAAGGTGGGGCCCAGCAGTCAGCCAGCGGCTCTGAGCCGCTGACACTTTCAGACTCTCCACCAGGAGCTGGGACAGAGCAGAAGTCCCTCCCTGGAGACTCTTCTCCTTGGAAAAGAGGGAACCAGCTGAGGATGTTTTCTTCCGCAGAAATAACTGGGCCCTCCAAGGGTCTAAGGCCATGTTTTTCTAACTGTAATTAGCATTGGTAACCTATTAGTGATTTATCAACAGGTTTTTTTTAAGTGAAACAGAAAAAAAAAGTTTAAAATAGAACAGAAAACAGAAAACACATAGTAAGAATAAACACTGTTTTGTGGAACTTTTGTTTCAGCTTGTGTGTGTGTATACTGGGGTAGGATATTCATTAACCCAACCAAAACATCTACAAGCCAGCATTCTACTGCATAGAGAGTGTGGTTTCACCTCTTTATTCACCTGCCTCCATCCACCAGCCTTCACAGTCTGTATATTCTTCATGTCTGTCCAGAAGGCTCCTTTGGAGGAAGTACAGTCCTACTTTTCACTATCGCTAAGTTTTAGAAAAGCAGAAAACAAATGTAACCCCGTGCCCTCTTAGCACAGATTCCAAGGAGAGCTGGTGACTGAGCACACACAAATTCCATTTACAAAGAATAACTCTGAAGCCTAGAAGGGCCTTGGCAAGCTCAGGGTCCAGCGTCACCCTAAATAAACTCCAGAAGCTAAACTACACTTCCCGTCATGCTTGCACTCTGATATCGTCTTCTTAGACTAAACAATATAGCCCTGGAACAGGTCACTGCCTGGAGCCATGGAGAGGGAGGTCTTGGTGGTTCATTTTCTTTGTACAAGCCGGAGCGAGCACAGCCTGGTCCACCTCTATTACTCACTAGCTGTGCAACCTTGGGCAAGTTACTCAACCTCCCTATGCCTCTTGCCTCAACTGAAAAATGAGATGATAATAATTGCACCTACCTCAAGGGGGTGTGGACATCATTAAGTGAGTTAATGCTTTAAAGTGGTTAGGACAGTGCCTGGTGGAGTTAGCTCTATATAAGTGTTTGTTAAATACATACATTTAGTCCCAGGCCCAGAAGTCATGACCGGGATGGGAGGGCGGGGTGGTCCTCCCTGCACTTGGTACCCTACAAGGCAATTAAGGCAGAAAACGTATTTTCTGAGGATGGCAAAAATCAGTTTTGCACTTAGAGAGTGGAGGATGACATTCCCTCTGGACCACTGAGAATCCTCGAAGTCACCCCATCTTCCCTCCCCTAAAGCTAACCGCTTCATGACATCTGCTTTCCTTAATAAACCAATCCTTCCCCAGTCTGTTTCCTCCATCACTAAGGCAGGGGAAAATATTGTTCGTGTGCCACTGACTCATCTCCACCGGGGAAACTTTTGAAGATGCCAACATCTGACATACAGGTTAGAACACCAGCAGCAAAGAAGAAGGTAGACGCCCCTCACCCCACATTTATGTGAAATGCATTTATTTCTCGAGGAAGAACAATGACAAAATTCATGAATGGCTTGTGATTCATGCTGTTTTTCAATTCTAAAAGCTCAATGTGAGGGTAAGTCATAGAAGAATATTACTTTGATCATGTTGCCTGGGCTGGGCCCTCGGCCATACATGCTGGCTACTTGGGGCCTGTAATTCAGGACAATTAATATGTTTCAGGTGTAATCAAAGGGCGAGCAAGGAAATTTGCATTTACTGAGTATCTACTGTGCTAGGTGCTCTCCATCTATTATATATGATTGCTTATACTTACATATGTCACTTACGACAACTTTTATAATGACCTTGTGAGGAAGGTATTGCTATACATATTTTGTAGATGAAGAAACTGAGGCTTAGAGTTTAAATAACTTGCTGACAGTTTCTCTGCTGGTAAATAAAAAGCCAGAATTCAGACTCAGACCTGTTTGATTCTAAAGCCTATGCCCTTCCCACGACATTCTTCCTTATTGAAAATCTGAACGCCAATCTTGGACCTGTAATTTGTCAACAGTGAAACCCTGCTATAAGAACAGCCGATGCAACAAGACAAAAACTGCCCATGCGAGTATGCGATCAACATCTCTATGTCCGAGGGCACTTTTGACCAGAGCTGAAGAAATCAAGGACCACAGGAAGGCCCTCTGGAACAGATTAGACCTTTCTCGTCCTACTTTCATTTTAGTTCAACATGCTTACTCTGTGACCTATGTGTTCTCTACGAGAGTGGTCCTCCAGATGACCTCGTCTATACAAGTCTTATTAGAATTACGGGGAGAATGGGCTTTGAAGAGGCACCAAGGAGGCTGGATTTTCAGCAGGGATTCCAAGAGGACTGACTGATGCCCGAAGCCCAAGTATAGCCATTTTCACACTCCTACACGTGAGTGATTCAGGAAGCCACACTGTGGACCACTCTGAGAACCTAACATGCCCCGAAGGAGGGAAGTGGCATAGGGCCTCATGTGGTAGTTCCAGAACACAATATATGGTTCCGTGAAAGACACCAGCAGCCAGGACTTCTGTCTTTCGTGATTTCCAATCTGAAGCTTCCACTGGAGACACTA